AATAACCTGAGTGTTGTGTGGGTTGTCCACATGCTTGCTTAAACGAAAATATGGCTAAAATTACACAGTAAAGAATCTGCCTGCAATGCAGGAGACCTGGGTTTGATCCCTGGATTGGGAAGATCCCCTGGAGGAGGAAATCACAACCCATTCCAGTATTCTGGCCTGGAGAATCCCCAGGGACAGGTGGGCTACAGTCCAAGTGGTTGCAAAGGGTCAGACACAACTGAGTGACTAATAAATCCGTAAATCAGACAGATATCCAAACTCTGACATTTCCATAGGATTGATTGAGAGTTAGTTGGTGTAAGAGTGAAAAAGTGCAATGAGACAGCTACTGGTTTAGTGGATTGAAAGTGGCTTAAGTAATCCAAGCAAATTGCAACCAGAACACTAATGCATGTATCATACAGGAATTCTGAACACAAAAATCTTCTTTTTTGCTGACTTCACATTGTTGACAGATAGGTTTAATAGAACTGGGTAGGAATAAGGATAGAAGTGTGAGGAGGGAGGAGGTTTCTGTTTCTTTTCATGAAAATAAAATTCCAAGAGAAAAAGAAAACTGATTCTAGAGAAAAGACATCAAATGTAGAACCAAGGTTTTTTTAAAAAATTGAGCAGAAATGGGCACATGGTCCAGGATATGACAGGTCCTGAATCAGACAATTAGCATTACTATAAGACCTACTATGAACTCTGTATTTGGTCAGGGTGTTCTACAACCCTCAAAGGTGACTTCAACTTCTGTTTTTCCAGTTTGTCCAGCTGTTCTTGATATCATTACTTCAGGCAGTCTGTGTACTTTAATGATTTGATGAAGACTGTTGGATATTCATTAGATAAATTAAAATGGACATTTTATATGTAAAATGGTGAATGCAATGTTACAAATACCTACTGTATCTTTGCCTCAACCACTCTGTCTAAATTTGTACTCAAGACCATCAGATTATTTAGGCTTATTTAGTTCTTTTATGTCTCCCAAGTGTGTAGAACAATGCCAGCAGATTATGTGGTTTATTAATATGTTATTCACGGAAGAATGTAACATCAGAGTTGGCAGACAGGCATCGTGCGAGTACCAGTTTCCTCATTTTTACAAATATGTGATAATACATTTGTGTCATTCCTGTAAAACTTTATGCATAGGTATTCTTCATGTAGGCTACATTCTTTTCATAAAATTTGTACATAGGAAGGTTGAACTTGGGAGTTGGTTGCCTTGTAATCCTAAAAATGAGGGAAATTAGATGCCTTTGCCCTTGTAGAAAATACCTGCCCCAACATTTTCCTCGCTCTTTTAGTGACTGACTGATTTTCCTTGCATTTCTGCATTTACTTGGCCTTCAGTATATGGTTGTCCCTTATTATACATGGGGGAGTGGTTTTAAAATCCCCTATGGATACCAAAATCCACAAATGCTCATGACCTTATGTAAAATGATGTAGTGTTTGCATATAAGCTACTATGAACATCTTCCCATATACTTCAAATCATCTCCAGGTTACTTAAACTAATATGAAGTAAATGTTATGTAGAAAGTTTTAGATAGGATGCAAATGTTACATAAATATCTGTCAGTGTGCAGCTCAAGTTTTGCTTTTCAGAACTTTCTGGATTTTTTTCCTACATATTTTTGATTCACAACTGGTTTAATCTGGAGAAGTGAACTTTGTAGATAAAGAAGGCCACTGTGATCCCATCTCTAACTCTTACTTTCTCAGAAAATTGGATTTCCTTCGATTTTATATTTCCAGATGATTTAAACATGTTGTCCTTCTTAAGAGAATAATCAAATACAAACATATCTGAGACACAAAAAAGCATAGTAAGTTACCCAGGGCCAAGCAAGGAGTAGGTGAGAGACTTGGGGTCTGAACCAGGCTTATGTGTATCCAATATCCTTCAACTAGCTAAACCTTAGTACAGTCAATACAGCACTCCTGGTTGAAGGGGCCATCTTCTAATAAATAAAGTCTGTATGCTTGATGAAAATATTTATTTCAGAATTTTACAGAAAAATTCCAAAATGGCATAAACTTTGCAGAGATCTTTTGAAAATATCGAATAAAACTGCCTTAACTTTTTTCCTAAAAAAATAAATAAATAACTGAACAACACCAGTCACAATCCATGGTCCTCCCATCCCAAATATAAAACTGCCTATTATTGAGTGACCCCACTACTCTATGTGTAAGACAATTGATTCTTTGATCCTTAGAGTTGGACAGAATTAAAAGAAAAAGCAGAATATATTAAGAAGAGGTGGCAAGAATACACAGAAGAACTATACAAAAAAAGATCTTCATGACCCAGATAATCACGATGGTGTGATCATTCACCTAGAGCCAAAAATCCCAGAATGCGAAGTCAACTGGGCCTTAGGAAGCATCACTATGAACAAAGCTAGTGGAGGTGATGGAATTCCAATTGAGCTCTTTCAAATCCTAAAAGATGATACTATGAAAGTGCTGCACTCAATATGCCAGCAAATTTGGAAAACTACGCAGTGGTCACAGGACTGGAAAAGGTCAGTTTTCATTCCAATCCCAAAGAAAGGTAATGCCAAAGAATCAAACTGCTGCACAATTGCACTCATCTCACATGCTAGCAAAGTAATGCTCAAAATTCTCCAAGCCAGGCTTCAACAGTACATGAACCATGAACTTCCAGATGTTCAAGCTGGATTTAGAAAAGGCAGAGGAACCAGAGATCAAATTGCCAACACCCATTGGATCATCTAAAAAGCAAGAGAGTTAAAAAAAAAAAACATATACTTCTACTTTACTGAGTATGCAAAGCCTTTGACTGTGTGGATCACAACACACTGTGGAAAATTCTTCAAAAGATGGGAACACCAGACCACCTGACCTGCCTCCTGAGAAATCTGTATGCAGGTCAGGAAGCAACAGTTAGAACCGGACATGGAACAACAGATTGGTTCCAAATAGGGAAAGGAGTAAGTCAAGGCTGTATATTGTCACCTTGCTTATTTAACTTACATGCAGAGTACATCATGAGAAATGCTGGGCTGGATGAAGCACAATCTGGAATCAAGATTGCTGAGAGAAATATCAATTACCTCAGATATGCAGATGACACCACATTTATGGCAGAAAGCAAAGAAGAAGTAAAGAGCCCCTTGATGAAAGTGAAAGAGAAGAATGAAAACGTTGGCTTAAATCTCAACATTCAGAAAACTAAGATCACGGCATCTGGTTCCATCGCTTCATGACAAATAGATGGGGAAACGGAAACAGTGACAGAATTTATTTTTGGGGGCTCCAAAATCACTGCAGATAGTAATGGCTGCCGTGAAATTAAAAGATGCTTGCTCCTTGGGAGAAAAGTTATGACCAACCTCGACAGCATATTAAAAAGCAGAGACATTACTTTGCCAACAAAAGTCAGTCTAGTCAAAGCTATGGTTTATCCAGTAGTCATGTATGGATGTGAGAGTTGGACTATAAAGAAAGCTGAGCAGTGAAGAATTGATGCTTTTGAACTGTGGTGTTGGAAAAGACTCTTGAGAGACCCTTGGACAGCAAGGAGATCCAACCAGTCCATCCTAAAGGAAATCAGTCCTGAATATTCATTGCAAGGACTGATGCTGAAGCTGAAACTCCAATACTTTGGCCACCTGATGTGAAGAACTGACTCATTTGAAAAGACCCTGATGCTGGGAAAGATTGAAGGCAGGAGGAGAAGGGGATGACAGAGGATGAGATGGTTGGATGGCATCACCGACTCAATGGACATGAGTTTGAGTAAACTCTGGGAGTTGGTGATGGATAGGGAGGCCTGGAGTGCTGCAGTCCATGGGGTCACAAAGAGTCGGACACAACTGAGCGACTGAACAGAGAAGAAAAAGGGAAAACAGAAGGTAGGACAGGTAATAATTAGTTACATGAATGAGAGAAAATAATGATATATGTATTTTTTTAATCTGTCCTAAGTAATGTGACTAATTTATCATTGAAAATAGAAAAGAATCACTATAAAGTGATTATTATACCCAGTCAATATGGATAATAAAAATTCCCTTTATTTTTTTATAAATGAAAAGAAGATATATATCCTCCTTCCATTAAGACCTTTTTGTCTTACTTATTTCTGTAGACATGTCCACACAGTGTCATATATTTAGAGAACAGAACAATGAACCGCTATGTGTCCTTCCTCAAGGTTCAACAAGTGTCACCCTAGGCCAATCACCACTGCTTTGGACACCTACAGTCTCACTCTGCCTCACCTTACTTGACAGCAATGCAATGCAGTATCATGAGCCATGTCTTTAGCCAAACTTTTAGTCACTTTAACCCATGCCCTTCTCGTCGCCCTCTGTCTTAATTTGCTCATAACTCCCCGATCTGTCTCTGCTCTTGTTTTTTTTCAGTGCTATGGCTCTGACATGGTGACTCTGACAGAAGACAGATCAGTTTGTGCTGTGTACCACCAGCTCACCGTGATGTGGCCTGCTCTCACCACTGGCTGCACATGACGTCATAAATGGCTGTGGGTGAGACCCTCGTGTATGTGAGGATCAGTCTCCTGCTGCTCTGGGTGAGGGTGTTTCTATTCTTTTCTGGATCATCCTGCATTGAGCACTCCCAACATCACGATCCTCCAGAAGTGGTGGTACCCTTGAAGATAACACACACTGGCAGTGGCATGAAGTTTCCTGGATGGCTCTCTTACAGCCTGCGTTTTGGAGGCCAGAGACACATTCTTCACATGAAAGTCAACAAGATTTTTTTCTCTAAACACCTACCAGTGTTCACCTACACAGACCAGCACGCACTAATGGAGGACCAGCCTTTTGTACAGAATGACTGCTACTATCAGGGTTACATGGAAGAGGATCCAGAATCCCTGGTTGCCCTCAGTACATGTTTGGGGGGCTTTCAAGGAACATTACAGATACATAATGTTGTTTATGAAATCAAGCCCAAAAGTCTTTCTACCTCATTTGAACATCTGCTATACAAGATGGTAGATGAGACAGAATTTCCACCCAAGAGATGTGGATTGACAGATGAAGAAATAGCACGACAACTGAAATTTCTTCAAGAGAGTGTTAATTATACTTTGAAGCAAAGTGGGTATGTTGGCTGGTGGACTCACAGGCGTTTCCTTGAACTGGCAGTGTTGGTAGACCATGGTCGGTATCTTCATCACCAAAGTAATACCTCAAGTGTGCAGTTGGAAGTATGCATGGTTGTCAATGGAATAGATACATTTTTACAATCACTGGATGTTAATGTGGCTTTGATTGGAATCGAAGTCTGGTCTAAAGACAACCTCCTTCCATCAACAAACATAAGTACTCTCTTGAACGAATTTTGCATATGGAAGAGAAAAAGTTTTAATACCCGCTTACCACATGATATTGCACATATTTTCATAAAAGAAAATTATGGCCGCCTTCTTGGCTTAGCCTATGTTGGAACTGTATGTAATCAATTTTATAACTGTGGGGTTGATAGCTTTCTGAATGACAAATTGCAAGAGTTTGCATATATTGTATCACATGAGATTGGTCACAATCTGGGTATGCGACATGATGATAAAACATGTAAATGTGGAGGTAGATCATGCATAATGTTTCCAAGTAAAGCTGTGGCAACTCGATTCAGCAACTGCAGTTATGCTTCATACTGGGGCGTTGTTGGAAAAGTGAGGTGCATGCACATTTCACCAAATCCAGAGAATATCTTCAGGCAGACACGCTGCGGCAACAGTGTGGTTGAAGAAGGAGAAGAGTGTGACTGTGGTTCCGCATATATGTGTGCAAAAGACCCCTGCTGTCAGTTAGACTGCACTCTGAGAGTTGGGGCTACTTGTGCTTTCGGGCTTTGCTGTGAGAACTGCACATTCATGCCATCAGGCTCCATGTGTAGGAAAGAAGAAAATGAATGTGATCTTCCAGAGTGGTGCAATGGGACATCCTATCAGTGTCCAGGAGATGTGTACATGCAAGATGGGACCTCCTGCACAGGCGGTGGTTACTGCTATGAAAAGAGATGCAATGACCGCAATGAACAGTGCAGGAAAATTTTTGGCAAAGAGGCCAAGAATGCAAATGAGAATTGCTACAGGGCAATGAATACCCGAGGGGACCGTTTTGGGAACTGTGGTCTGACAGCCAGTTCATATGTACAATGTGGAATCACAGATATTCTGTGTGGGAGGGTTCAGTGTGAGAATGTGACAGAAATCCCCTTCCTGAGAGATCATTCTACTGTGCACTGGACTCGAATAAATGGAGTCAGCTGCTGGGGTACAGACTACCATCTGGGGATGACCATACCTGATATTGGTGAAGTGAAAGATGGTACAGAGTGTGGTGCGAATCATATGTGCATCGAAAGGAAGTGTACGTCTATGCCCAGTTTCCAAAGTGGTTGTTCGCCTGAGACGTGCAGTATGAATGGAGTCTGCAACAACAGACATCACTGCCACTGCAACTCCGGGTGGGACCCTCCCCACTGCCAGGTCAAAGGTGCTGGAGGCAGCGTGGACAGTGGCCCTCCGCCAGGCAGAGGTGGAGAGCCAGACTACTGGTACCTGCTGCTATTTCGCTTGATTCCTTTGTTTTTTATATTATTTTGTTTTTTAATTTGGCTGTTCAAGAGACTAAAAGAATTAATTGGGCAAGAAGAAAAAAGTTCTCCAGCTGAACTTCAGTGAGAAGGAAAATGTGTTGAGACAATACTTAAGGAAAAAGTACCAAATATTCTGATTTCACCTGAGGAAAAAGCAGAAAATTTCCAACTTCATCTTAGAAAGAAAAGCCTAGATTTGTGATTTCAAAAAACAAATTCAAAATCTTTGAAATTTCTCACTTTTTGGTTTTTAGTTTAGTATACATGTTACAGCATGTGTCAGCAATCACAGACAGAAAACCCGAGATATTTCATTATTCTGGATCATAAATATTATCAATTAAATAATGAGTAAAAATATGCTAATTCCCAGAACACTTTGTTATTTTAAGCAATTTAATGGTTAATTTTTCATAAAATTATCTGTGTGTTTCCTGAGCAAAAGCACAGCTCACACAGTGTGTATGTATGTGTACTTTTAATTTGCTATCTCTTAATTCTAAACATCCTTCCCCTTTGTACTCTGCTTTGTCACGCAGTGAATGGGAACCTACGAATCTCATTTCTTCTTTGCCAGTCCTCTTATTATTCATTTCTGCTAACAGAACTAGAGGGAGAGTGGACAGACTGGAGACCTGGGGAATTTTTCACTGCTGTTCACGTCACTGTTGTGTCATTAACAGCTCTTTCTTTACAGGAAGGTAAATTTCAGTCTGTGTTTTATTACTATATACTCAAACATACATATACTGAGTTTTCATATCTATATGTAATTGTACATTACATTATATTTATATATTAGTAATTCCTTAGTAGACATTACTTTTCAGCCTCAGAGATACTGGCATAGCCACCAAGCATCTTACCTTGCTCAGTTTTCAGTCCCAGGTCCTTGAGTTACCAAATACCTAAGTCCTAGAGTGAGCCTTAGATCCATGGGACCTATTCAAAACATGTAGGTTTATTAATAATGCCTCTTCCCTTCAAGCCCCAGCCCAAGCAGTAACAGCTACATCTTCTTCTTCATAACTCATTGCTATCCCTGTGGTGTGCATTCCTCTCTTGTGACTGAACTCTGAGTGATACAGTATGTGGCATAACGGGGAACACAGAAAGGAGTCTGACACCAGAAGATTTGAAATATTCACACTATGGTGCTTACCATCTTGGGGACATAATTTAAACTTAGAATAACTTTAAAATCAGAAAAAAGAGGAAAATTATATGTGCCACTCAAACTTCATAACTTTTATTTCTAAAATGGATGAAGAACATGCTTATAATTCTCTTTGGGATATGTAAGTCATAGCAACCATCTTTCCTCTAGAAAAACCCTAGATAATGCCAACTATATTTTAAGAACCAAATTTAAGGACATCAGAGAGCTGAAGCAACCACATAGAGTAAAAAAACGAAAACCAGGCATCAAAAAGAATTTCTGAAAATTTGGACACTTGCTAGCTATGTTTTCCCCTGAGTACTTGCTGATACTGTATGTGATTTAAGCATTAGGTCTGGTCCAGTGAAAGGATATCTGCTGAAGGAAGAAGTATCCAGTGCTCTTAGTTACTAGCCAGGGCTAGATTCACAAGTTAGACACTGAGGGGCCTCTAAATAATAATCATTGTTTCCCATGTCTCCACCACAACTAACGTCCCTATTCACGCTGAGAGTCCATAGAGACGCCTGCCAACCCCGCAGAGCAGTTCCACAACAGTTTTGGAGCAAGGGGCAGAGCTAGAGACAGGGGTGCAGTTCTCGGCTGTGAGAGACCAAGGGGACTTGCAATCATGGCTGCATCGGAACAGAGACACAGATGCTTACACAATCAATACACTGGACCTCCATCTGTTCATGGGTCCTACTTGCTTCAACACCCTCTTCCTTGTAGGCAAAGGTCCTGGGGCAGTGCAGAGGGAGGGAAAAACACACACTTAATGGGAACAGAGCCAGATCAATTCTGGCTCTCAGGGCTTCTGCTCCTGCAACTTGGGATCAGACCCCCCCACCCCCGTCAGGGTGTTGATGGCCACTAGGCAGAGATGAAGTCTTGCCTCACACACGGCACTGGCTCTAGCCCCTTCATATGCAGCCCCATCACCTGCCAAGTCTGTAGTAACCAGGAAAGACATGTATCTACATCAAGTCTGTACTATCATCAAAGGTACTGGACACACACAGCCCATATATGGAAGCTCACATGTAAGAACCTCAAAAGAGAACTGTTTTACCTAAATTATTAGAGGCAGAGCAAGTTAAGCAAAGTGAAAAGGCAGAGAAACTACTCTCAATTGAAAAAAAAGGAACCAATGAAAATAATGAAACAGAAATCAACAATTTATCAGGTAAAGAATTCAAAATATTGGTGGTAAAAATGTTAACTGAATTAAGAAAAATAATTGATGTAAGCAGTGCCTGTTTTAACAATGAACAAGAAGATATAAAAACTATGCAATCAGACATGGATAATTCAATTATTGAATTTTTTTAAAAATTGTATAAAGAATGGATAGCAGAATGAGTGGTGGTTGTTGTTATTCAGTCACTAAGTTCTGGCCAACTCTGCGACACCATGAACTGCAGCATGCCAGGCTCTTCTGTCCTCCACGACCTCCTGAAGTTTACTCAGATTTGGGTCCATTGAATCAGTGATGCTATCCAACCATCTCATCCTCTGCCACCCATTTCTCCTCCTGCTCTCAATCCTTCCCTGCATGAGGGTCTTTTCCAATGAGTCGACTCTTCGCATCAGATGGCCAAAGTACTGAAGCTTCAGCTTCAGCATCTGTTCTCCCCATGAATATTCAGAGTTGATTTCCTTTAGAATTGATCAGTTTGATCTCCGTGCAGTCTAAGGGACTCTCAAGAATCTTCTCCAGCACCATTATTCAAAAGCATCAATTCTTCGATGCTTTGTCTTTTTCATGATCCAACTCTCACATCCATACATGACTACTGGGAAAACCAAAGCTTTGATTATATGGACATTTGTCAGCAAAATGGTATCTCTGATTTTTAATATACTATCTAGTTTTGTCATAGCTTTCCTTCCAAGTAGCAAAAGTCTTTTAATTTCATGGCTGAAGTCACCATCTGCAGTGATTTTGGAGCCCAAGAAAATTAAATCTGTCACTACTTTCACTTTTTCCTCTTCTATTTGCCAAGAGGTGATGGGACCGGATACCATGATCTTAGTTTTTTTTTAATGTTCAGCTTCAAGTAAGCTTTTTCACTCTCCTTATCAAGAGGCTCTTTAGTTCCTCTTCATTTTCTGCCATTAGAGTGGTATCATTTGCATATCTGAGGTTATTGATATCTCTCCTGACAATCTTGATTCCAGCTTGTGATTCATCCAGCCTGGCATTTCACATGATGTACTCTGCATGAAAGTTAAATAAGCAGGGTGACGATACACAGCCTTGTCATACTCCTTTCCAAATTTTGAACAGTCTATTGTTCCATGTCCGGTTCTAACTGTTTCTTCTTGACCCAAATACCTGTCTCAAGAGACAGGTAAGGTACTGGTACTCTCATCTCTTTAAGTATTTTCCACAGTTTGTTGTGATCCACAAAGTCAAAGACTTTGGTGAAGTCAGTGAAGTAAAAGTAGTTTTGTTTCTGGAACTCCCTTGCTTTATCTATGATTCTACAAATGTTGGCAATTTGATCACTGGTTCCTCTGCCTCTTGGAAACCCAGCTTGTACATCTGGAAGTTCTTGGTTCATGTACTGCTGAAGCCTAGCTTGAAGGGTTTTGAGCATTACCTTGCCTAAGATGTGAAATGAGTGCAACTGTACAGTAGTTTGAACATTCTTTGGCATTGCCCTTCTTTAAGACTGGAATGAAAACTGACCTTTTCTTGTTCTATGGCCACTGCTGAGTTTTTCTAATTTGCTGACATATTGAGTGCAGCACTTTAACAGCATCATCTTTTATGATTTTAAATAACTCAGCTGGAATTCTGTCACTACCTCTAGCTTTGGGCTACCCAGGTGGTGCTTGCAGTAAAGAACCCACCTGCCTATTGCAGGAGACATAAGAGACACAGGTTTGATCCTTGGGTTGGGAAGATCCTCTGGGAGGGTATGGCAACCACTCCAATATTCTTGCCTGAAGAATACATAGACAGAGGGGCCTGGCTGGCCTCAGTCCATAGAGTCACAAAGAGTCAGACTCTAAAGCAACTTAGCGCACACATACATGCTGCTGCTGCTTCTAAGTCACTTCAGTCATGTCCGACTCTGTGCGACCCCATGAATGGCAGCCCGCCCGGCTCCCCCATCCCTGGGATCCTCCAGGCAAGAACACTGGAGTGGGTTGCCATTCCTTCTCCAATGCATGAAAGTGAAAAGTGAAAGTGAAATCGCTCAATTGTGTCTGGTCCTTGGCGACCCCATGGACTGCAGCCTACCAGGCTCTTCTGTCCATGGGATTTTCCAGGCAAGAGTACCAGAGTGGGTTGCTATTGCCTTCTCCGACACATACATACACACACATATATACATATACAAAATTATGTCATGTGCAAATAAAGACAAATTTACAATCTTCTTTTCATTCACATGCCTTTTATTTCTTTATCATGCCTAACTGCCCAGGCTAAAACTTCCAGTACCATATTAAATAAGAATGCGAAGAGGAGACATTCTCATCTTCTTGATCTTGACAAAAAGATTTCAGTTTTGAACAACTGAGAATAATGGTGGTTGTGGGGTTGTCATATAAGACATTTACTATGTGAGGTGTGTTTTCTTCTATATTCTGTGGAGGATCTTTGTCACGAAAGGGCATGATATTTTATCAAATGGTTTTATGCATCTATTGAGATGACCATGTGGTTTTTTGTTCATTCTATTAATGTGTCCCATATATTGATTTGTGTACATAAAAACATCTTTGCATCCAGCAAAAAATGCCAATTGGTCACGGTGTATGAAC